CATCAGGCTGGTTTTACACTCAATTGGATGCCGGTTAGCGGCGGAGCCATTCGTCTCCTAAAATGATGAGTAGGTGGCTTTAAGTGGGCAGAGAAATGCGAGATGGTACGCGAGTCTGATTACGGCACAACACAGTGCAGCGGTGCACTGACAATAGAGAATGCCTCATTTGTTTTCTCAGTGAGTAAGGCAGCAATCCTTCAAATCCTTAAACAATAATTTTTTTTTTTTTTTTTTTTGCCTTTGACTTCATTTCCGCAATTGTTTAGTGAACAATGCAGAAATTTGAGTTCAATGTTCCTCTTCGAATACAAGACTCCAGTCCTTATTCCTTATTATATCTTCTATTTTTTAATCTTATGTGAGGACATTTTTTTAAAAAGTCAAATATATTTCCCAAATTTCTCAGTGAATAATGTATCAATATTATTACAAATGTCGCTTATGTTGGGTGGCAGCTGTGTCTGTTGCCGCTCATGTTTTGTCCCGTGCGTTTTGCTGTTGCTGCAAGGTCCCGTGAGGTCATCTGCACAGCCGAGCGCTTCCGAATGCGAACGGACAACGTGTGTCATCTCTTTGTGTGCGTCCATGTGCGTGTGCGCGCGGGCGCCTCATCTCTAATTGGCCCCTGTGCTCGTCGGGCAGGCGCTGGAGAGCGAGTTTGTGTCGTGTCAGCTGCATCAGTGGATTGACCTCGTTTTCGGCTACAAGCAGCGCGGGCCCGAGGCGGTGCGCGCCCTCAACGTCTTTCACCACCTGACGTACGAGGGCGGCGTCAGCCTAGACGCCATCACAGACCCTTTGACCAGAGAGGTAAACACACACGCACACACACACACACACACACACACACACACACACACACAGAATGAGAGAGAGAGAGGTTGTCTAACTTTGACTTGACTACATTTGCATTTCATCTTTGACCAATGTGAGATGATGAATTTGCGGTCGATGACAATGCAGAAATTTGAGTTCAATGTTCCTCTTCGAATACAAGACTCCAGTCCTTATTCCTTATTATATCTTCTATTTTTTAATCTTATGTGAGGACATTTTTTTAAAAAGTCAAATATATTTCCCAAATTTCTCAGTGAATAATGTATCAATATTATTACAAATGTCGCTTATGTTGGGTGGCAGCTGTGTCTGTTGCCGCTCATGTTTTGTCCCGTGCGTTTTGCTGTTGCTGCAAGGTCCCGTGAGGTCATCTGCACAGCCGAGCGCTTCCGAATGCGAACGGACAACGTGTGTCATCTCTTTGTGTGCGTCCATGTGCGTGTGCGCGCGGGCGCCTCATCTCTAATTGGCCCCTGTGCTCGTCGGGCAGGCGCTGGAGAGCGAGTTTGTGTCGTGTCAGCTGCATCAGTGGATTGACCTCGTTTTCGGCTACAAGCAGCGCGGGCCCGAGGCGGTGCGCGCCCTCAACGTCTTTCACCACCTGACGTACGAGGGCGGCGTCAGCCTAGACGCCATCACAGACCCTTTGACCAGAGAGGTAAACACACACGCACACACACACACACACACACACACACACACACACACAGAATGAGAGAGAGAGAGGTTGTCTAACTTTGACTTGACTACATTTGCATTTCATCTTTGACCAATGTGAGATGATGAATTTGCGGTCGATGGGGGACCGCTGTACCGTACTGTGCACGAGACTGGTCTCTATGGTGACCGTGACTCTCCCTCCCTCACGGCCATCGCACGTCCCGTCCCGGCGCTCGCTCGTCTCGTCCGTCTTGTGGCGTTTGGAACAACAAACCATTGCTTCATCATCAAACGCTCTCCCCAGCTGATTTTAGGCCGGCGCTTTCAACGGGATCAATGAGCGTGTGAGTGATCCTGCGATCAATGGGCAGAGGTCAGGCCGTCAATAGCCGAGCGGGTGCATCTCCTTGTTCTCGACACGTTAATTGAATATCTATGAGCCGCGGTGTGCCGCTCGTGAATGGCTTAATTGCGGCGGCGGCAGCTGCCGTGCTTTGTGGGCCTTTTCCGGGACGAGTCTCTTTTCCTGTGATATCCGCCATCTGCTGTCTGCAAAACAACTCATTTATATACTGTCACTTCCAGCCGCGCCTTTATTTATCAAGTGACCATTATGCAAATGCGCTCGCCAAGATTTGCTTGATCCAAGTGCCCTCTTTTGCCCCCTTGTTTTTTTTTTTTTTTTGTCAGGCGCCGGAAAATTCTTCTTCTATGTAACTGCTGGTTGCGAGAGCTCACGGCGCACTTTCTAATTGTGTCAAGATCCAGTTGTGTTTTCGAGGGCGAGTCCGCTAATTGCAGCTGCTCATTTTTTACCATCGATTAAGAGTTGTGTTTCCCACTCCAGAAGCGTGCCTCTTATGTATGAACAGAGAATGAGCTCATGTTGGCTTAGCCCAGCGTTCAGATCTACAATATTATTATTTTGAAGGCAGGTGGAGTATTTTCTCTCAATGTGAAATGACATATTATCATGAGCACATAATTCTAAATTATTCAAGTGGACATTTCTGAGCATAAAAATGGCGACTTTCACATTTTGCGAAAGGTATCCGTTTAAAAACACAGGCATGAGAACATGGATATCTGACAATAGGAGAGGGTGAGAGGAGAAGCGGGAGCAAAACAGGCCAAAATTCAGACGTCGCGGAGTGAGGCCGGAAAAGAAGGCGTCGTGTCATCATAATGTGAGAGTGGAGAAATGTCTTGAGATTTCGACATTTCTACAAAATTAGCTGCTCTGATTTCGGGCGGGTGGGACAGAGAATACAGATACAGATTCATTTTATAATCAATTGAGAAAATGTTTCAAGTAACGCTGTATGACATTTTCTTTCAAATCAAATTTTTTCAGGCACAGAAATTGATGAGTGACACAAAAATCCGACCTTAACAACATTTTAAAGCCACGAATTTGACCCCGGAGATCAATAAAGGGTGATATTATCTTTCATTCATCATCTGTCCAATAAACAAAACAGTTTTCCTGTGACTTTAAGGAGTTATGCACGCGTTGAATCGAGCCCTCTAAACGTTGCGTGAGGACCTGCCGCGATGTCGGAAAAGGCCTTATTGATTCATCCGTGGCCCGCTGACAGCTGACGAATTGCATCAATGCCGTTAGTCGCCACAGCGTCAGCATGTCAGGAAATCCAAGCGTCGGCCACATGTCAGATGGGGGACCCCTGCTGGGGGGGCACGACTCGTCCTGACAGCTACTGGCCCAAAAAAACCACAAAAAAAAACGATGACACCTCCACCCCTCGGTTTCCGACCGTGTGACATCACTCTGGACGAGGCAGAAAAATTAATCATCAGTCGGACTTTATTTCTTGTCACGTAGCCGTCCTTCCTCCCGACCGTACCTGCCCTTCCCTTCAAGCCACGCCCCCCACCCACCCCGCTCCCAATCCGTGACTGCTTATGAGTTGACAAAGACACCAAAGCTTGAGGGCAAGTAGACATTGAAGGTCATATTGAAAAGTGTCATCACTTGACCTTGAGTGACCTTTAAAAGGAGTCAGCTATCACTGACAGGTTAGAGGACGATGAATATTGGGGAAAGGGGGCGGGCTCTCGCAAAAAAGATCCTCAGTCGACCTGTAAAGTTGGACAGCTGTCTGTCTTGTAATGTTGCCCCAAAATGGCTGCTTCCTCTTCTCGACCACCCATGAGTCCGAAAGACTTTTTCATGTTCTTGTTTTCGACATGTCCACCCACTTTCATGTCATTCAGTGAAACCAATGCCAGACGTTATTTTTTTTTTGACTTTCTAGGGGGCACCACTAAGTGAGTTTTGTGGTAGGTTGTGTTGCAAACTCCTAAAATTAGAGCTCAGACTCGCACCGAATATCCACTTTAATTATTCGTGGTCAAAAAAGTAAATGGAGTGCACTTAGAAAGTGCTTTATCGACACCATACGTTGTCCAAAATGCTTTTCATTCACTTATTTGAAAAAGTATCTTTCGTGTACACCGGCGTGTTGACGCACCTCAGCATCAACCTTTGCAAAGGTTTTCCTTTTTAGTTTAAAATCACTTGAACCTCCAGCATCCCTCGCTGCGCCCCGGCCAACGACAGAACCCGGCCTGTTGTTTTGGTAGAGTTTTAAATTCATCCGTGTTCCTTCATACCAGCTAGCTAGCGCTAAGCTAATCTGGAAACGTTGGCCCCTCCAATCTCTAGCGTCCGAGTTTGCAAACTTCTTTTGTGCTAAGATGGCGTCAGAAGCTCCCCATTTGTGCTCAGCTCCACCTGAAATACGTTTCCACGGTGATAGATATGTTTATTAATATTAGTGAGCTCTCCGACATGTACAGGCCAAACCAAAGAATGCGTACATTGTGGGGGACAGCGTCTAATGACAGTAGTTTCTCTCTCTTGATGCTGCTAAAACTCAGGAGAGTAGTTGGCTCTGCTTCTACAGTATTTGTGAGTGTGCGCGTGTGCGTGTCTTCCCCATCATTCTTGCCGGCGTGTTGTCGGCTTCAGGTGTCGTGACGCACGGCGATCCCACGCTGCTTAGCGGGTCAAGCAGAGGGCGCGTCCTCCTTCTGTCTGACAGGGTTGATGTTGTTGTGTTACGGCATTGCATGCGAGAGAGAGCGCTGCCGCAGCGCTCCGCATACTCCCGTCCGTGGGCCGCAAAGTCAGTCGAAGCTGTAGAAATGGCTCCCTTTTTATGTCATTTTGTCGTGAACGGCACAGACGCGGCCCGCTGAAATTCGTTTTAAAAAGGAATTCATTTTACTGATGTGAGGATTTGAATTATTAGCACCGTAGGAATTGTTTTCAAGAAAGAAATAAACATTCTGCACTGATATTTTTCCCAACTGTTCATGCCGCAAATTAAGTTTTGCGATTTGTAGCAAGAAGAAAGAAATAAACATTCTGCACTGATATTTTTCCAACTGTTCATGCGATTTGTAGCAAGTTTTCTGAGGATGCTAATTCCGTTTTCGGATGTGTGGAATTTTTCTCCAACTGCTTTCGATGCTTTTTCCATGAAAATTAAGACTTGATCTTTGTGTCTTCAGAGTTCCTTTTTCTGGGTTCTTTTCCAAATGGCCCATCTTTTTTCGCTCGAGCTGTCTTTGGCGTTCATGCCGCTATTGAGATCCTCGTTATGTACACCAGAGGGATCTGTGAGTTGAAGTGCCGGGACCAGGCAGCCGTTTTGTCTTCGCACAATAGCCGAAATAGTGTCATTTCTGAGCTACGTGGGAATTGGTGAAGATGTCACAACTATTTTGCATGTCCTTATCGCTATTCTGATTACATAAAAGACAAATGTGAAATTGGTCTCATGCACTTTGACGGTTTTTATGAAGCTATTTGTCTTTACTTGCTACGCCGCTGTTAATAAATGGATGTACAGTAACCCCCCGCTATAACTCGGTTCATTTTTCACAGATTTTTTTTCACGCATTTTTTTTTCAGTGCATTGTTTTTCTGTATTCTGATTGGCTAAGGGACTGTAGACGAATGTCAACAGTCTGGACGCCTCGACGGCAGCGTCGTGCCAGATTGGAAGTGACTGCGGGGCTAGAGGAAGTTGTTTTGGTGGGTGGGGATGAGGACGAGGTAGTGGTTGTGGTGGTGGGGGGGACTCGCAGGTGGCCTGTCCTCATCCAGAATCACCTCGGAACGTCCCGTGCGGCGGTCGCCGCCCTGGCATGTGCTGCCCATTGGCCGTGTGTGATTTTAAGCGGTGTGTACAGCCCCCGTCCTAAAGGAGGGCTCGGCGCCACCGTGACGGGCATCTGCGCACGCCTCCGTGATGGAGGAACTGGCGCCGGTCGCGCCCATCAACATCAATGACAGCCACGCGAATCTTTGATTTGCCTTGTTGCACGTTCGTCTCCGTTAAGGATATTTTCATTCGCCGACAGAAATAAAACCTTGAAAGTCAACGCAAACCACACCAGGGCTAAAATAGTTTGGGATTGTTTCATTAGTTTGTTTTTATTTTCCGTTTGACTTTTTAAAAAAAAAATTGTTTTGTTTTTAGAGCAAGTCTGCGGTTTCATGATTGCCGTTCCAGTTGTCTGTGTGTGCGTGCGTGCGTGCGTGCGTGTGCATGCATTCTTCAAAACAGACAAATATTTCCTTGCGTGTGAAGCAAGCGCATTTGAAGCCCGCCTCATGTCCCTTTGCCTGCCTCTCAATATTAGTGTGCGTTAACAATGCTTGTGTTTGCGCGCGTACGCGCCCTCGCCCTCGCCTTTGTCTTCCTCACAATTGCACGAAACAGCGTAGCGGCCCGGTCCGGGCTGGCTGGGATGTCACTCCAGGTTAGCGTTTGTGCAAGCGGGGGCCCCTCGCGCCTGCAAATGGGAATGGTTAAGCCAAGCATGTTAATAGGAAAAGGCCTGTCTCTTCCATACTAACACTTGGATGACTCTGCAGGGTGAGGCGGATGAGGATGAGGAAGGGGGTGGGGGTGGGGGGGAGGGCGGTCCCGGGCGCGCACCCCGCACGCCCGCTGCCGACCCCACCGCTCCGCCCTCCCCCCACCGCCGCATGAGGCTGGGCTGAGTTGGGATTTGCTCACATTGTCAAGTAGCGCATTGACCCATCACTTTGACGCATATCCACTGTGACAGCAGCCCTCTCTCTCTCTCTCTCTCTCTCTCTCTCTCTCTCTCTCTCTCTCTCTCTCTCTCTCTCTCTCTCTCCATTCCTCTCGCTTTCCCACCCGCAGGCCACGGAGGCGCAGATCCGGAGCTTTGGACAGACGCCATCTCACTTGCTCATCGAGCCACATCCTCCACGCAGCTCCGCCATGCACCTGGTGAGAGCAGAGAGCATGCTGGGAGGGAAGAAAAAAAAAATAAAAACAGTTCTGAACTATTTCAAAGAGATGTTGTGATACACCCCCCCCCACCTCCTCACAATTTAAATAATTGAATAAAGTGTGTGACATGCTTTTGTCAAATCACCCCAAAGATGAAGAATGGTAGCGCACTTTCCATCAGCGGGGGGGGGCAAAGTAAAAAAGTTCTGATAACCTGGCAAATAAAGCAGTGCTCAGTCACGATGTTGAATTTGAGGCACGGCGATACTCGCGGTTGCCGATGTGTCTCCTGCATGCACCACATGTACAGATGTGCTTCACTCATGCGCAAAGTGTAAATCTGCAACGTGGTGATGAAGTGAAAACGACGGGAAAACCCCATCAAATGTACAAATGCTATCCATTTGCAGTCTGGACGTCTCCTGCTCGAGAAGCAGTCTCAGTCTCCAGAATTCTCAAATAAGGCCGCAAGAAGTTGCCAGATTTGTTCCCTGTAGCTTTTTTTTTTTTTTTAAATAATCGCCAGATTGGTTGCAAAAGTTGCTAAATCCTAAATTAGTAAAATTTACAACACTGAGGAGCCCTTGGCTTATCCGAACGCCCTCGCTATGCCCTGGTCGTCAAGGCGATGTTGTGACGCCATTGCACCCGGGATCTGTTTTAAATGGTTTTAAAAAAAGTGTCACGTTCCCTTCTGTCTTCCTGCATTCGCAGAGTCCTTTGATGTTCAAGGACCAGCTGCAGCAGGACGTCATCATGGTGCTGAAGTTCCCGTCCAACTCGCCGGTGACGCACGTGGCCGCCAACACGCTGCCGCACCTCGCCGTGCCGGCCGTGGTCACCGTCACGTGCAGCCGCCTCTTCGCCGTCAACCGATGGCACAACACTGTCGGTGAGTGGCGGGCGCGCCCATAAAAGCCTCACCTGGGCCGGCGCCTCCCGACCAGGTGAGGAGCGCTTCCACATGTTGCCTTTCGCCGGCGTGTGAACCGCGTTAACCCCCAACCCCCCAACCTGAGAACGCAGCCGCCACCTCCGGGTCAGGGGGCCAACGCCATGCTTGTTTGGAAATCAGGCCGCGGCTCCAGCACAGCGCCCATTCTCCTCACACTTCCCAGCTGTCAGAGTGGAAAACACATTGAGAGGGAATCTAGCGCCCTAATGAGGGCAGCTGCAGACCACAGGCGGCCATTTTGGAGCTGAGAGCAAATGTGGTTTGGCTCTGACGACGACACACATTGATTTTATTCCTGCCCGGAATAAATGTCTTCATGCATTTCGTCTCTCCGATACAGCGGCCTTTCATCCTAAAGGTGTTCCTCCACACCACCCTCGCTGTAAAACTCGTGTGTGCATATTGCCTCGGACGTGTTCATGGTGCTCTGTCTGACACCGTGAAAACCTTTGCGGACGTTCAGCAGCCGAAAATCTTTTCTAGAGCTAATGAAGTTCAGATATTTGTTCACAGAGAGAGCAAAAGTAAAAAGGCACTTTAAGATACAAGCTTAATAGAGAGCAAAAGTAAAAAGGCACTTTAAGATACAAGAAAATTTAAGATTATTCAAAAATACAAATTGAAATGAATGGACATGCCCGTAATCCATTCCAGCCCCTCAAAGAAGAGCAACTCTTTTAATGTACACTATGTTTCATAAGAAAACCCAAGCACTCTGATGTACGTTACTACAAAAAATCCATTGATCACATGATGAAATCAATTTGATCAGTTCAACTGACATTGTGCCACTCCTTCTGGACCACCACCGGGGCAGTATAATGCAGAAACACATATGAAGAGTTTCAAAACAGACTCAGCAGAACACTGTCAATCAGTTATTCTTTGCGGGGGATAAAGAATACATATGCCTGTGAGAATTGTTATATGTATACATGTGTTGCTCCACCGTTTGTGTTCAAACCTCCATGAGTGAAAGGGTTAAAATACCACATCACTGATACTGTGAATCAGCTCGTCTGAGGTTAAATTGCATTGTATGTTTGTATTTGTTTACTTTCCGCCACTCAAAATGCGTACTCTTTCCCTCAGGCCTCCGGGGAGCACCCGGATACTCCCTGGAGCAGGCTCATCATCTCCCAATCGAGATGGACCCTCTGATTGGTGAGTTATACCCACTACTTCGCCCGTGCCCGCGGCTTCTCCAATGTATACGCCGCTTGTAACGTCTCTTGTCGACGCGTGTAACTCCTTTGCCGCCGCAGCCAACGGCGCTGCGAGCAACAAGCGTCAGATCACAGACTTAGTGGACCAGAGCATCCAGATCAGCACGCAGTGCTTCGTGGTGACAGCTGACAACCGCTACATCCTGGTGTGCGGCTTCTGGGACAAGAGCTTCCGCGTGTACTCCTCGGAGACAGGTGGGCGAAAAAGGTGGACGCGCTGGTGCGTGGATGACGCCGTCGATACTCGGGCGTGCTGTTCTCTGCCGAATGGCCCTTTTGTCATATGGCGAACCCGGACGGCCGTGAGTGGTGAAAAAAAAAAATCTTAGTAGCTGATGTCCCCCAAGCACTTTGAAAGAAATGGCCGCTATATTTTAATAACCAGACTGGCGACTGCAACAAAGTGCCTCACAATATTTCCAAAGTGACAAAGATGAGTCGGCAGCCATCTTTGTCTTGTTGTCTGTTTTGTAATCGTCAAGGCTAGTGAACAAAAATGGAATAACTCAAGCTGAAATTGAAAAATGTTTTTCGTTTACAAAATAAAATAAAAACAATTGTTTAAAAAAAAAAACCTAAATACGAGCAAAGCAAAGAGGAACACAGGGATGAGACGAGTGCGGTTGGAGGGAGCTGATTGGTTGACACAAGGAACCGGGCTGATGAGAACACGTGGAACCAAAACCTAACGAGCAAAACATGCAAAAGACACACAAGGAACCGAAATGTAATCAAAAGAACAAAATAAAAGCCGATCATGACAGTATCGGTTGTTGCGTTATTTCATCCATCCATCGTGCTGAATTTTTTTTGGGGAGGTTCTTCACGCTGCCCGCGACGTGATGACGGACGCGCGCCCGCCACATTGTGTGTCCCGAGCAGGAAAGCTGACCCAGATCGTGTTCGGCCACTGGGACGTGGTGACGTGTGTGGCGCGCTCCGAGTCGTACATCGGGGGCGACTGCTACATCGTGTCGGGCTCGCGAGACGCCACTCTTCTTCTGTGGTACTGGAGCGGCAGGCACCACATCATCGGCGACAACCCCGCCAACAGTAAGTGGCTTTGTGTTTTGTTGGGGTTTTTTTTGTGTTTTTCTTTGCCTTTGTGTCTCACACCTTCTACGCGCAAGTCCCGATTTGATGAAGTTGACAGAAGCGGCGACGGCTAATTAACAATTTCGGCTCGGCTGAGTCCAATTAGCCGGGGAGACTTTTTGTGTTGGTTGCATCGGGGAAATAGAATTCCCCTGCTGCATCTTCAACACTCGTGCAAATATCTTCTTCAACAATGAAACTTAAAAGTGCACAACGGGGGGGCTGTTTTCGAAATCAAGTCATCTTTCAGCCATTTGTGGGGATGGGTATTGTTGGAAAAGAAGTCGGCCAAAATGTGACTGGTTTGTCAAAGCATTTTAAAATCACGTTTTCCAAAATCTTGTTTTTGCACTTTTTTTTCGCTTAGTAAGATATTTATTGACTTTGCTTTTAAACGCCTTTAACCGTCTGTAAATGTCATTTTTAAACATGTGAAGCACATTGAGTGATCTTGTGTATGAAATGTACAACATAAATTGTTACCTTAAAGGAGTTGGAATTTTTTTTTTTCAATCATAGTTTGTGTTTTATTTATAGTTTAAAGTCGTCAAATCTCCTCATATTTGTGTTTCGGCTTTCACAAGTTTGTCAAAGCCATGTCTGATGTCATTGTGAAGCTTTGGCGCCATCTGGTGAGAGCTTGTTGCAAAGCCAATATCTGAAACGGAGTTTGCCACCATCTGGTGGTTCATATCTGGAATTACAAGCCTTTTTGCCAAGGCGTTGATGATTTGCATTATTTCTGTTTTACGTGTTTCAAATGGCGGTTGTCATTGGATGCTCGCTGAGTTGAGGCCATGTCAATCAAAAAGGTGTCTGGGCGTTTCAGATAATTAAAATGGTTGATCTGATTTGATCACCCCGCCCACCCCCCACCCGACGCCAACACCGGGCTGGCGTACGGGCCAGTTGCGCTCGTCCCCGGGGTGAAGGCGACTGAGATTGAATCTTTTGTCGGGCAGGTGAGCGGCTCCAGCTCCCTCGTTACCTCCCCAGAGGCTTGCTGTGACACTTGTCCTCGTCAAAGCAAGCCCCACTCCCCCCCACACCTCCCCCGACAAGTACCCCCACATCATCCTCAGAGCAGCTGCTGGCACTGACAGCGCGGCTCAGGGTCCCGCGCGGTCTCTGCGGGACCACATCCATCACAGTCCGGCCCACCGGACCGCCACCGCGGGGGTAGGCAGGCGGGCTTTGGGAGTCCGCGACTGTCACCATTGTCACTCAGACGCGTGACTGAAGGGATTAGCCCCAAATAGTAGCATTAGCTTGTCTTTATGTGCTTGATCAGATAACCCATGATCTGATTTTGAGAAAAATCTGCTCAGAGATCCCAGCTGTCACCCAATATGTCCGATTTTGTGGTCATGCACGACTGACGTCTTTAGGGCCGTGATTTTAATTGGCTTACTGTGTAAAACCGGTCCGTGCGGCCTTAGCCTAGCGTGACGCTGAAGCATGTTGAGTTGAGGTGTCGGAAATGAATGGACAACTAACAGGCTATCAAATTCATTGACAATTAACGACACTATTTTGGTCATCGTTTTTTAGAGCTTAACTCATTTAATGGCCGCCATTTTTCTCATATCGGGAGAGCCGGCGGCAGCCATTTTTGACCATTTGGCTAATCTTTGAAGGTCTACAGAAAATTGAGTCCTGTAGCTTTTTATGGATGGAACCAACTAAGCTTTTTTTTTATCATGTCAGACGTGCCTCTGCTCAATAAATATTGGTGAAACACTGCGTTGTACCGCAGTACGCCACTTGGGGGCGATATTGCTCCTTATCCGCCGTGATGACCGAGGCTGACGGCATCACGGGTCCTTTCTTGTACAGAATTTGAATTTGAACGCTGTCTGTGTGGCCTGTTGCAGGCGACTACCCGGCGCCGCGAGCTGTCCTCACGGGCCACGACCAGGAAGTGGCGTGCGTGGCGGTCTGCGCAGAGCTGGGGCTGGTCATCAGCGGGGGCAAAGGTCAGCCAGCCTATATGTCAAACAAAACAACAGCAAAAAAAACCCTGTCCGGTACAATGGTACCTTTTAAGCTTTTTATTGCCACTTCCATCTGGAGTTGACCCTAAAACTAAGCATCATACAACAACAATTAAACCGTTTGTATTTAAAACAGCCACATATCCTTTCAGTCCACTCGCTGAATGCTAACTTTACGTTGCATCAAAGTTGCGGTGATGTCACCCTTTAAGCCGCGTATTGAACCCAAACAGTCCAGTGGCACGGAGACAATTTAACACCAAAATACATTCTTTTTTCTCTGCAAAGAGTGGCTAATATTAGCGCCGTACCGATGAGCGAAGAAGATTTCGGCGTTCAAAGTTGAAAATGTGGTCAGTTTAGGACTTCACGTGGGCAGTGATGTGAACAAGCGTCGTGTGTGTGTGTGTGTGTGTGTGTGTGTGTGTGTGTGTGTGTGTGTGTTGGCTGGCAGATGGCCCGTGCCTTGTGCACACCATCACCGGGGACCTACTGCGGGCGCTGGAGGGTCCCGAGAGCTGGCGGCGGCCGCGGCTCATCTCGGTGTCCAGCGAGGGTCACTGCATCGTGTACTACGAGCGCGGGCGCTTCTGCAACTTCAGCATCAACGGCAAGCTGCTGGCCCACATGGAGCTCCGCGACAGCACCAGGGTCAGGAGGACGCACAAAAAAAAAAAAAAAAAGGGCTAGAAAACAAGCAAAAGCTGCTTTATTTTCGCGGACTTTTTTTGCATTGCTATTATGCAATTCCGCTGAATGCTCTTTTTGATATGTTTCATGTTCATGTACTTTTATTTGATTTGTTCTTTTTTTTTCGGATGACTTTTTGTGGTGTTCGTACGACTTTTTCTTTTTTTCCCTTTTACTTCATTTGACTCATTTCGGATTATGTAGTTTTTCCCTTTTATTTTTCATTGACTTGTTTAGAATTTTTTTTGCTTCAGCTTTTTTTTCTATTTTTAAAAAAACTATTTTTCTTAGATTCTTTTTTACCCAATTAATTCTACTGTGCTCTTTTCCATTTCACTTCTCAAGGTTTTATTTGCTCTTGAAGCGTCTTGTAAATGAGTAAAGAATCTTCAATCGGCAGTTTGTTAATAACTACGAGAGGCACGACGGGGAAAATGCAAACTACGCACACAGTTGCATGCCAAAAAGTGAGCCTGATGAATGGTTTTTTTTTGTTGTTGTTTTTTTTTTCCCCCCGGATGCAGGCCATGGTGCTGAGCAGCGACGGGCACAATCTGGCCACCGGTGGCGACAACGGCGTGGTCCAAGTGTGGCAGGCGTGCAGCCTCAAGCCACTCTACGTGTACCCTGCCTGCGACGCCGCCATCAGAGCCATGGACCTGTCACATGATCAAAGGTCAGCCGCAAGTTGCCAAACGATGCCACCCTTGTCAATTTTTTTTTTTAATCCCCAAAGGACGCTGCATTCCAAACCAGCCACAAAAGAAAGCTATCTTTAGAGTAGAAATTCATTTTAAATTTGACGTGTAAAAATAGAGTAGTATTCTTGGAATGCATGTATAGAACATCCATCCATCTATTTTCTAATCCGCTTTAGCCGTCTTCGGGCAGTAGGCGGGGGACACCCTGAACCGGTCGCCAGCCAATCGCAAGGCGCACACAGACGAACAACCATCCGCTCTCACACGCACACCGAGGGACCCGTTTAAAGCGGACAATCAACCTAGCGTGCATGTTTTCGGAATACGGGCAGAAGCCGGAGTACATGTGTAAAAATGTAATGTTGCAATAAAAAAGCTTATTGACTTCAAAATAATGCGTAGCCTGAGGAAAAAGCTCCACGGTGCGCGTTTGTGTCACGCTTGTCAGTTTGGCTTCGACTCAGCGTACAAGCGGCCTTAACATGGGAGGCTCGTGGCCCGTAGCGAGTCGACTTACTTTACAGCCGCTTCTTTGTCCGTTCAAAACTCTCCGTTTTCACGTTGCTTCAATAACCGGCCCACACACACAAGCGCGCGTCAGTCAGTCAAGTCTACGAGCCGGTGCCTGCGCGTCAGTGGGACCCTCCATGCGGCGATGCCGGGGGGCTCCGAGCGTGACGTCAAAGTGTGTGATTCCCCCCCGAGGGACAGCAGAGTATTGGCCACATGGGGACACGTGCACGTGGCCTATTCTACATTTGAAGTCCTTCATTTGTTTGGTTTTTTTTTGTGCTCCGTAGGACCCTGATCACTGGGATGGCCTCAGGAAGTATCGTCGCGTTCAACATCGACTTCAACCGCTGGCATTACGAGCACCAACACAGATACTGAGCGACGACCCGGCGGACACTCTGGACCAAGAACTGTGACCGGGTCCGAGAGAGACCGAGATGTTGCGTGCGCCACCCATCCCGGTGGCCTCGCAAAGAACAGGTTTGCGTTCAAGCATCGTTGCGCTTTCCGCTGCGTCGACGTCTGCCAGAGTTTCGGGAGCCAAACGAGAACGTGGGAAATATGCAACAAATGGTTCCGAGACTTGCTTGTAAACCGAACGGAATCGGATTATCTCCCATAAATATACAAGCCGGTGTCAGGATGTGACAGTGACATGCTGGACTTGGGAAGAAAATTCCTGTCAAGCAGGAATATGTTTATTTATGTCCGTTTTAAACATCCAGAGAGTCACACGGCACACAACCATGAGGAGTTTCCATCCTAGTGGAGCGCTCATAAACACACAGCCGACCTAACCAAGGAGGGTGCGTGCGGTGGGGGGGGGGGTGAGTCACGACCATGATTAAGGTGACATTTACAGGGAAGAAATTTGTTTTCTCGGTCTCGTCCCCTGCCAATGATGTGTTGAGGTCAATTCATGGCATCCATTAACTTAGTCTCCAAGTGGGGGAGTTGGACCTGCAGACAATTCTCCTCTTATCTTATTAAAGTTTAAAATTTGACATCCTAATTCTTTTTAATGTAAAAAAAAAAAAAAATGTTTTCAAATCAGGCCTTTCTCTTTTTCAACACGTCTTGGCTGGCTGGTAGCTCTTGCTTGTTCCCGCATTTGTGCTTAAACACCGCCCTCTAGTGGGAGAGGAACGTTCAAACACACGCAAATCTGAAATTCGAGATCATGCAAGAATCGTTTCAAATCAACCATTGATCCCAAAGCAACAGTAAAAGAATGAAAGAACATTATTATTTTTTTAAGGACTGTGTGAGGCCATGTACCCAACCAGCCCCTCCTCAAGCGAGCGACAATACAGGTAGGTCGCCCCCCCCCCAGAGGGACCGAAATTGTAGCATGCTTATCAGACTGTTTTCTGTTTTCCAACACTCGGACACACAATAACAGTGATGCTCAAGCACTTGTGGACTGCGTGAAAGCGTCCTCCTGGATTGTATGACATCACCCATTCAGTCTGTGCACCCTCCCCCCAAAAATAAGTGGAGCCGATTTGCACAACTGATTCTATGTTGTTCATTTCAATTTCCGGGCCAGGAGCGTTTTTGCTCTTACTGCGAAACACGAAAAAGTACTCTTAAGTAATGCCAAGTGCCAACTTGGTTGAGAAGAATTTTCTGGTGCGCTTTTATTTGCACATTTTGGTTAGTGTGTTTTTGTTGTTGTGTAATCAAGTGTTTTGTCTTGTGTGGAATCTGTTTTGGGGCGATTTTATTTGATTTATTTAGAAATTACATCACGTGATTTTATTGAGCGGCAATTATCGAAAACTTTATTTCCGTGCAGTGGTTCAATTCAAAAAGTGAAACCCAAACCTAATTTACACTTGAAACGTAATTCTCATTGTTTTTCATGTCCTATTGTAATTTCAATCGATGGCGGATTTTTGAAGGCTATTGTCAGGCGTGTGCGATAACTCCAGCAGCATATAGCTAGAAAATAAGTAGTGTGGCGTGAATTTGTTTGAGTTCCCCTTAGGAATTGAACTACTGAAATACTGGACATCATCAAAAGTATATTTGAATCACACAATAATTCATCCAAAATTTGGTTGCCCCGCTCAGCTGAACTGAGCGTCAGGACATAGGAACGCTTCAGACATTTTTGTGCAGTCTTTCACATTTTCACGCCCTCGATTTTGAATGTGTGACAAAAATATTAAGAAAAGAAATCAATGCTGTACCATGTGCACTGGGAAGCAATATGAAACTCAAAGCAACTGTGCGGCCATGACATGAAACATATTTAATAATTTAAAGTATGCAAATTGATTCATATTTTGTGGCAAACTTACGAGAGGAGAGCTGGAAAATAAGCTTTTTGTTGTTTTCGTTTGAGAATCATTTAGATTCATTTGTATTCATTAGTTCATGTTTGCATGTGTTTATGCATGGCTGTTTTTTATTTATGCCTTGATACTTAATTGCCTATTTGTATACTTATGTTTTCTGAGTTGCATTTTTAATATACATTTATATATATTTTATGTGCGGGATATTTTCTCTTCAGATGTTATTCATGCAAACGTGTTTAAAAAAATGTCTTTTTTTTTCCAAGTGCTTTTACTGCCACCTTCTGTCTGAACTTGTCACAGCAGGATTTCGCTTTGAAAAATGTTTCCCCACATCACTTTTCAGCATTTTTAATAAGAGAAAACACGAATAAAAAGATTTTTGGAAAAAAAAGCTTTGTCCAGATTTTATTTTCTTTTGCAATTTGCTTCTCATCTGTTGGGCAAATGGATTTCGTAACATCCAGCTGCCTCTCACTGACAGGTGCGGAGCAGTGGGCTGGAGAGCGAGGGCCTTCCAACTGGTGTTTTTCTGCATCTTGTCATCCGTGTTGTATATGGCACGCTCTCTGTCACGAAAACACTTCCTGCTTTTTTTCGCCAATCAGGAGCAAGCAACATAAGAACGTTTCAGCAATTATTAAACATAATATAATTGACGTAACTGTAACATAAAAGAATATAATGCTCAAATATAAAATTATAATAAAAAACACTTTAACAAAAGCTTACACGTGTTTCAAAATAGACCACTCACCAAAGATTGATTCGGTTGTTTAATTTGACACTTGACGGGCGAGCAGGCACTCCAGAGACCACACAAATTGTATACAAGCTATTAAAAAGTCAATATTCCATATGTCCCCTTTGAAAGGAGCTCATCCATTTCGATATAATATCCTGATGTGGATTATGGATCTCGATAATACGCACGGTTATGTCATGACGTTACACTGACGCTTTCTTTCCATTGAGGACCATTTTATACTACTGACACTGCGGGGGAAATGTTCCCCCCACAAAAAAAGACTCTTACAGCATGTGTGCTATTTGATTCTGCCTCGATCAGTCAAACGTTTTCGCAGCCCTTGAAAAAAAACAACAAAATGGAGTGACGCGTGGTACGAGTGCAAACAAGCGAGCCGGGGCACATTGGTGGACACAAACATTTGATGCAAGTTGCGTTTCAAAAATGCGCACATGCACTTTACAGCCTCACATGTACTCGCCTTTGAAATAAAAAAAAAAAAAAAGCCCCCGCCCAAAAAACAAAAAGACGACCTTTGAATAAACAAAATGTCATTTGACTGGAAGCACCGTGCTACATCCAGTACATCATGTAGCTTCCGTTTAGTTTCTTATGATTCATTTCATTCGCTTGTCTCTTCATTCAAACACATTTAACACTGTGCTTTTTGGGGGCATGGTGCCTCTAATTGCACTTTCAGTCATGTGCTCTTACATTGTCACGTTTTCGAACCATCAGCACGCAATTATTAGCATTATTAAATGTAAAACAAAAAAAAAAAGTAAAAAGCATAGCACAGATAACACCTGGAGTAACATTATAGCAGCAAATTATTGGCTTCATCCAATGGAAGGGTTCATGGAATATGTTGCACCGGAACCTGCGAAAGTGCAGCGACAGCTTGCTGAAAGTCACGCGAGACTTTGCTGCGCGAGTGTCATCGCCGGTCATCAAGATCTTCAAATCTCCGCGAGGCAGGCTGGCGTTCCTGCAGTACATAATCGTGACCACAAGACGGCGGCAGAACGTTGCCATCTTCAGGGAGCAAAGTTGAGTAGTGGCATGATTGTGGAACATGTCAACCGTAAACTGGAACTCGTTTCTATACAAGTTGCCTGTGAATACTGAAGAGCGGACTCTGAACTGCAATTCTTTGGAAGTAGTTCAGTGGTCGGAATGCGAACCGATAAATTGGAGAGGTTTGAAGAGATCAAGAAAGCCCTTTGACACTGTTTGCGATGAAGGACCTCTCGAAATGAATGGGACTTGATTTAAATGACCTGAACAGTTTGGATTGGAAATGGTTTGGATTGGCGGAAAAATCTGGAAGGAGTTATACAGTGAACGTGGATGCTGAACAGAAGGCGCTTGAACTGAAATGCTGGAGAAAAAAACTCAATTGTTGAATGTAAGACTTAAAAGCGTAATGTGGAAACGAGAATACTTCCCAAGACGTCCCGAATGAGCCGAACAATTTCAAGTCGGAATGGTTTGAATTGGTGGAAGAAGTTGTGAACGGTGGAAGGATGAGTTTGCCTGGAAAATCGCCCAATTTATTTCAACGGGAATTATTCTCGTGGACCGTTTGTGGAGGGGTGAAGAAAATTCCCCAAATTTCATGAATGATACGAACATGTTGGAATGCTGTCACCCGGTGGACAAATGTGGAAGAAGTCGAAGGGTAAAAATTTGTTGCCGAATCACTTAGCTACCCTGAAAGCAAAATTGGCCCCAGTGAGTTTACGAAAAATGTGATTTCCGAAAATTTTGAACTATTCAATTCTGCGGTGAGGCTAACGAGGCGGTTGCCGGCCGAACCGGACGGAGAATAGTCGTCCGACTCCGACGTGAAGTCGGCGGGCGACGCGAGCGCCAGGTTGGAGCCTCCTCGGGCGGACGCGGCGCAGACGGAAGAGCGAGCGCCGTGCGGGAAGTTGGCCGCCGGCGTAGCGTCGGGATGCTGTTGTCTTTGACGGAAAACTTGCTTCTCCTTGTCCAGCGGCGTGTTCTGACGGAGGGAGGAAACAGACACAGTTGACCAATACAAATGGGGGATTTTTTTTGGGGGGGGCGGGGGGTCCTCCAGTAATTTACAACCTATTGTCGAAATCCGCAAAACTTTTTCTTCATAATACTTTTGGAAAATGGGACTTTTTCTCTCAAAAACATGAATACGTGTGTCATTTCATACCATTTCCCCCCCTAAATAGTATTTCTTGATTTAAAAAAAAAAAAAAAAAGAAAAAAGAAAGCATCATCTATTTTTTTTACCCATAAAGTATTCCACCTTTTCCTGGGTAAAAGTGTGGCCGATTCGCGTGTGCGCAGACCCACCGTGATGACCATGACGCCGGCCGTCGCGCTGCTCCCCTTGTGTCCCGTGTTGAAGTTTTTCTTGATCCTGACGGCGACGGGCAGCTGCTGTTGGTTCTCGGCCGCGCCGTCCTCCTGCGAAAGCAAACGTTTCCGCCGCATGACGTTTTTAGCGCACGGGAAGCGGTGACACGTTCGCTGCCGTCTTCTTACATTGACCCAGGGGTGCTCCAGCACCTGGCCGGCCGACAGCCTTTGGTCCACGTCCACCCGCAGCATGCCGCCGATGAGAGCCTGCGGAGCGGACACGCGTTAAGAGCGAGCGGCCGTGATCAAGCTCCGTTTGCCGGCGCGGCCGCCACCTTGGCCGAGTCCGACACGCCGTCCCAGTGCGGTGACGGGAACTCCAGCCGGGCCTTCAGAATCTCTTGGAACAGGACGTCCTGGTCCTCGCCGCCGCTGTGCAAGGACACCAACGCATTTGACTTCATCATCGACAGATGAGACAGGTGGAAGGCCGGCTAAAATCCGGAGGTGAAATAAGTCGAGTTGTTTCTTTTATTCATCAAATCGGAGGCCGTTTGGGAATTGTATTGTTTTGTGAGCATAATAGCATAGCAGTAGCACCGCCTCCAGCATTGAAGCTGCCCATTCCTGATTCCTACAGTTAGGGGGCGGGGCCGAGATCTTCCAAAAATGTCAGATTGCGCAATTTGACAATGATTCCACGATAAAAAAAAAAAGAAACAAACGCAGAGCTTGACGAAAGCAAGAATTATGACAGGACCGGTGATGATTTAGGATACGCGTACCAATTGAAGGGCGGGAAGCCGCAGAGCAGGATGTAAGTGATCACACCCGCAGCCCAAATGTCCACCTTGAGGCCATACCTGGAATTGGACGTGAAACGCACGCAAACAAGCCACACCGTTAGGGACACCGACACTATGACGTCACGTTCCACTCGTGTTCCGAAATTTCCAGGAACTTCCCCGAAAGTTGCTCCTTGAGAAAGAGAAACGCACCCCTTTTCGGCGACGATCTCCGGCGCCACGTAGGTGGGCGTGCCGCACACCGTGTACAGGTAACCGTTGACAACGGTGGCCAGGCCAAAGTCGCCCAGCTTCAGGGACTTGCTGCCGTCGTGGTGCTGGTAAACCTTCGCCACACACACACCCCACAAGAAAGACAGTGTGCAATCTTTACGGGGACAGAGATGTATTTTGTTGCGGAAAAGAAAAAAAAAAGTTGCGATTTTAAGTCACGCTTATCCGAGTGAAAGTCATCACATAATTTAACGATATTAGGATCAAAATTTTGTGAGGCACATTTTAACAAATCGCTTAATGCTAAAGGAAATTATCTTTTATTATTAAAAAAAAAAAAAAAAAAAAAACTCAACAATTTAACTTTTGTTCTCAAAAATAATAAGACTTTAGGTCATAATTCTCTTAAATTTTTGAAACGATCCAAAGCTGCCTGTTGCGATTATAGCAACAATTCACAAGTAATTGATCGTCACACCAAAGTTTGTAATTGTCTATAGATGCCACAAGATGGCAACAAAGGGCTTTTTCTCTATTAGACAAGGCTATGGCATGAAGCGCTTCACCTCATTTCAACATGGTCCTCGCCCCAAAATGGTGCCAATAGTTTTCTATTAGACATGGCTTTGGCCTGAGCATAAAAAACAGCCAACCGTGAGTTTTTCCGACAAATTATGGGGGATGGGTGCCCCCCACCCCCAGAAAAAAAATTGAAGAATGTGAATTTGAAGGTTATACATTTAGTATGTTTTTTTTTTGGGGGGGGGGATGTTTACATGATATGAAAAAATATTAAGGCACCCCCCCCCCCCCCCCCGCCCCAAAAAAAACATGTCCGTTTCTCAGTTTGAGAATTGTTTTCCCCTGTGGCGCGCCTTTGTATACCAGCAGGTTTTCGGGTTTGATGTCTCTGTGGACGATGTTGAGGCTGTGCAGGTACTTGACGGCGCTGGCCAAGTTGAACAGCATGCAGCCGGCGTCTCGCTCCGTGTACTTGTTGGACGAGGTGATGGCGTCAAACAGGTCGCCCCCCTTGCACAAAGGCACGCGGGAAGCACGCTTGTAGGATTCCAAAATAGCTTTCAAAATGGAACTGGAGAGGGAGACGGCTTTCCTGAATGCTTGGCATACCTTGACTAACTCCATGACCAGATAAATATCATTGCCGGTATCCATCTCTTCAATCAGCAGCACGATGTTGGGATGTTTGACCCGTCGAAGGATGGACACCTCGCTCTGGATCATGTGCTCCTGAACGGCACAGCAAGGAATAGAATACAACTACAAGTATTGCACATGTTTTGTTTAAAATCGTGTTGAAAAAAATAATAAATCCGTGAATATGTAAACTTGCAGATGCCGATCAGTGAGTATGCAAGCCTCCCAAAAAAAAAAAAAAACATGAACTGAATGACAACAGGTTGATAAGAAAAAGCACCTTTCCTCGGCATTTCTCCTTGCTGATGATTTTCAGGGCGTATTCTCTCCCCGTGGATCTTTCCACACACTCTCGCACCACAGCAAAGTTGCCGCTGCCTAAAGTGCGGCCCACTTTGTAGCGCTCAGCGATGGAGGCGGGGACAGCGGACTCGTCCGTGGGCTCGGCTGCGGACATTTGGGGGGGGGAGGGGGAGGGGGGCGGAGATTTGGCAGAATGAAATGACCTTGCTCTGTCTTCTAACAGGGGCGTGCGGTCGGTCTCACCTTCGCTGCTGGGTGCGTCGCCTTCGTCCATGGAGCCGCACACCTTGGTGGAGGCCAACGACAGAGACGAGCCGCTGTGGTGGGATCCCTGAACACAACCGCAAAAAAAAAAAAAAAAAAAAGCACAATAATCAGAGATTTCATTGACATTACTTTGGCATTTTGTGTCACACTTTTATGCTGTTTTTCATGCTTTGCAGGGACATTTGTCTGTTTGTCATTTTCAGACCGTTTCATCTCGACCTCGAATGAAAATTGTGCAAGCCCGCCTCCACCCGCTCCGTAAGAAAAGCGCTTGTGAGTTGTGATTTGTTGTGTTTTAAGGACTAAAAAGTCATTTCCTTTCCTCCTACCTGGCGTCTCCTGAGGCTGCCCGGACTGGTGGGAGAGGGGCAAGGAGATTTCCCCGATCGAGGCGTGGACAGCTGACTCCCTGCGGTCCCATTGGCTGGCGAAAAGGACCGCAGAGGTGTCATTGGCCCTCCTCGCCTTTCGTCCTGTGAGCAATGGCGCCTTTGTGAGGCCTCACCTGAGCCAGTAGATGAAGGCGACTTGCTCCTGCGAGACATTCCGCCACTTCTTGGAGAGCAGCGACCGTGCACTGAGGGAAGCCGACCGTATGAGCACGACTTGGCCACCCTGCATTCTGGAGAGGAGAGAAACAAGTCAGTGGGAAAGTGTAACCCAACCTGCTCCAAGTCTGGAGCTACCCAGCCAGCATTTTTTTTTTTCCACTTACCACTTTCGTCCAAACTGAAGTCATCCTGGTAGCGATACTTTTCAGGCCCGCAAGCAAAGAAGATGTCATCGTCGCCAAAAAAGTCCTGAAGGCACATGACCTGCAAAAAATGATCACGCTGTTTTTTATATTTTTTGTTTATTTTTTTACAGCCATGCCGATATCAGTGGTTATGTTAGAAAAAAAAATGCACTGCCAATGTCTTGTATTCAAATACTTTGTCCAAGCAAATTGCATTAGGCAGTGATTCTTTTTTGTGCCACAAGAGGGAGCCTGCGTACAAATGGCAGTTCCATCCATGAAGCATCCCTCACCGAAATCACGAAAGCTTGCGAATAGGTAAACAAATGTCTTAGTGGATGCAGCCGGTGCTCTCATCAGAATGAAGCCAACTCAGCGGTCATAAATAAATCAAAAGACGCTGATGGAGTCCCGGCCTTCTCCCTAAAAGCCGATATTGATACACTTAAGTGACGCCCATTTCCTTTTACTGGGAGAGCCCCGCTGCCAGCTTAACTCAAGCAATTCGTGCTTGATGTCATCCTGACTGGAACTGAAATATTATTCAAAGCGATGCCTCGGACGCATTTTTTTTTGCGACTCGGTCCAGGCAAAATGGTCGAACAAAGAGCACCGGGCCCAAACGGTCTCAGCAGACACGCCCACCCACTCTGATGAAACCCCCGTTTGTGTCCGCCATTCCTCCAAAACGTGTGCCAAGTCCCAGCGGGAGGGGAGCTGCAAGGATGGCTGTTGCCAAGGAGACGGGGGCGGGGGGTTGGTGGGGGGCAATTGAGGAAAAAAGTGATGAGAAGGGCACGGCGGCTCTTCAGGCTGGAGAGCAGAGCGCGAAAAAGCAAAACCTCCTCCTCTGACCGCTGCTTTAGAGGTGAGCCGAGGAAAAGGACCACCGCAATGTTGACCTCCACCAAGGTCAAACTGGGGCAAAGGTGGGGAAAAAAAGAGAATTTGTATCTACTCGCACATTTGAGGCCAATGTGGTCCTAGAAAAAAAAGCAAACCCGACTTAAAAACCTAACTTGGAAACCCTAACCGTGCTTTATAAGCTTACTTTGAAACACCACTCTTCAACCTTAACCCTAATTTGAAACCCGAAATGTATTTTGAAACCCCCAAAGCTACTTTGAAAGCCTACTTTTAAAGCATCACTCTACTTTGAAACACGAACCCTACACTGAAACACTCACCTTGCTTTGAGACCCTAAACCTAATTTGATACTCAAACCCTACTTCGAAACCCCACACTGAATCACTAACCCTGCTTTGAGACCTTGACCCCAATTTGAAACCCAAACCCTACTTTGAAACACTAACCCTGCTTTGAAACCCTACCCCAAATTTGAATCCCTGCTTTGAAACACTACCCCTACTTTTAAAACCTGCCTTAATAGGAAACGCCACAGACAGCCTAACAAAGCAGCATCTAAGTGGCAATGTCATATTGTTTTGAGCAAGGGAAACAGATCGATAATATCATAACTGAAAGCTTACTTTCAAACACTTCATATCATAACATAAATATCACAACTCTTATAAGCATATATTCTTTATCCTCTGCAAAAAAAAATGACTCTGATTACTACTACTCATACTGAGGCATTCTTCACATACAGCATATGCATGCCTGCATTCTGCTGCCCCCAAATGGCCAAGGCATGAATACTCGAAACCAAAAAAAAATGTGGCAAAAACTTTCATTCTTTAAGCCTAACAAAGCAGCATCTAAGTGGCAATGTCATATTGTTTTGAGCAAGGGAAACAGATCGATAATATCATAACTGAAAGCTTACTTTCAAACACTTCATATCATAACATAAATATCACAACTCTGATAAGCATATATTCTTTATCCTCTGCAAAAAAAAATGACTCCGATTACTACTACTCATACTGAGGCATTCTTCACATACAGCATATGCATGCCGGCATTCTGCTGCCCCCAAATGGCCAAGGCATGAACACTCGAAACAAAAAAATGTGGCAAAAACTTTCATTCTTTAAATTGGCTTCAATATTGTTATCACGGTTTGTTTTTACAAAGTAAGATACGATAGAGTTTTTCCCCCTTTTCTTTAAAAGAAGATATAAAGATTTGTGTTGGTGCTTTTTGGGAATCCACTGTTGCGACTTGGTGATGGAACACAGGCACTGCCACGCTCAGTGTGTCGCCACCACCGGGGGCACAAACGTTGGCTTTTGTCCTCGCATAAGAGTCCAGAAACTGCGTATTTGATATTCACCGTCAGCATCTTGCAGCCGAAAATCGAGGCAGCGCTCGAAAATAGCTTCCCTTTTGCTGGGGAGAATCAGATTTTTTTTTTTGAATTGGCTTCAATATTGTTATCACGGTTTGTTTTTATAAAGTAAGATACGAGAGAGTGATTTTTTCCCCTCTTCTTTAAAAGAAGATATAAAGATTTGTGTTGGTGCTTTTTGGGAATCCGCTGTTGCGACTTGGTGATGGAACACAGGCACTGCCACGCTCAGTGTGTCGTCGCCACCACCGGGGGCACAAACGTTGGCTTTTGTCCTCGCATAAGAGTCCAGAAACTGCGTATTTGATATTCATCGTCAGCATCTTGCAGCCGAAAATCGAGGCAGTGCTCGAAAATAGCGTCCCTTT